ATAACTTTGTTTAGGTATACCCACATATTATTGAGTAATACAATGATTCTCATTACTTTTCAGCCATACCACGTATATATTATTATTATTGATATAAATAAAAATGAGTTTAAAAAAAATACATGTACAACATAACAATAATGGTTTACCTAATGAATTCTTCAAAACATAGGTCAAGGTGGAATCACGGTAATTGATATGACTTGCATTTTCCTTTATGTTTTGTATAACTGTTTTTAGACTGCTGAGACTCTTGTTAATATTTATTGTTTCAGCTTGAAGATCTCCAGTCAATTCATAAGCTGATATTTTCTCTGAACCTCCCAGGTCAATAAGGTTCAAGGAACCTGATTGTTTCTCATTTGTAACAGAATTAGAGCCTTTGATATGAATCATAAATATGCTGTGACTCCTTGAGGAATTATTGTTCATTTTTGTAGAAGAAACAGTTTGGTTCTTTGTTGTGGATCTAAGCACTTGATTAACATAATCTGGTGATTCAAGGTTTACTAAATAATAATAATAATAATAAAATTATTTATCATCATCATTATCGTCATCGCCATCATCATCATCATCATTATTTTAAATGACTCTTTTTCTTATCTGTTTTCACATTAGTGATCCTTGTTGAACCTTCTCCAATGTTATGTGTTATCTTCACATCCTTTACTTCTCCATGTGAGATAAGCAAATCATAGATTCAATCATTATATATTTCGATGAATTGACCTTCGATTGTATAATTCCACCCCTGAAACTCCAATTCGTTGACAAGATCAAAGATGTGTTTGAACACTCTTGTGATCATACCTTCACTTTCCGGAGTATCGTCAGAACCTTGCATTGTGTAAGTTTTTCCTGCACCTGTTTGACCATAAGCAAAAATGCAACAATTGTACCCATCAACCACTGATTGGATGATGTCAGCAGCGACCTCAGTGTATACTTGTCCTTGGGTGCTATCAGGTTTGAAAACATGATCTAATTCATATTCCTTTAAAATATTTTTCTTTTTGTTTAGGTAATTTTTCACGGCAGATCCAATCACAATTTTTTTACTCTCGCATTTTTCTGGGTACTCAATATCGGTAAGAGGAACGTCTTTCTCGGCAGGAGTTTGCGGACGGACTCTGCAAAAAACGCGAATATTTCCCTTTAGATCTTGAATGTCATTGTGCAAATGGCGACGAGTGCTTTCGTTTTTATAGCGTTCTGCATCCAATTGTTCAATAAAATTTTTACTTTCTTCGTGTTCTTTTTGAATTATCATCAATTCTTTGGTGGTAGCTTCTTTGGCATTTTTAAGTTCGATAAGTTCACTATTTAAGTTCTTTAATTCCAGGGATTTATTTACAATCTGCGATTCAAGATTTGTAATTTTGTTTTTAATTGTTGATAAATTTTTTTTATTTTCACATTCTTTTTCCAATATTTTTGATATTGCGGCTTTCTTTTCATTTGTTTCCTTTTTGTTTCTTTTATTTTCTAAAATGCAAATTTCAATGTGTTCTCTGATCATCTTGATATTGTTGGTAGTGCTGATAAAAGTCAAAATCTTAGTAAACTAGAAAATTTATTTCTTAAACTAGAACTTGAGTGATGACGAGTGGTGGGTGATAACCACCACCACCATCCTTAAAATGCTTATCCTTTTTCTTCACCAAGTGCAATTGCTTTTCTTCTTTTTTTTTCGTTTGATTTATTCATTATTAAAAAGATGTTTGTTATTTGATCGATGCCTACACATTGATTATTTATCCTATTGGTTTTTTTTTTGGTAGGACAGATGCGAATTCTCTTTTTTGGAAAAACAAAAAACAATTTATTTTTTGACAGGGCCCAAGGTGACAAAACGTGAGTGTTGTTGTTTGGTTTGGTTTGGTTTGGCTTGGGTCTCTTAAAGAATACGTGTTAATAACTAACCAGAGGTACTACTTTTTATTTGTATTGATATGTATGAGGTGTCTTTTATTTTAGCTTATAAAT